TCATTCACAATTTGCATCATCTACTTTTCTTGAGCAATTCAATGTTAATCATTGAATACCTGGAATCTTGAGATGATGACACACTAGGGCACAATTACTGATGTGTTGACCACAATTCCCCCATGAACACTTATGAAACACAAATACATTTTGATTAGAAACAGACTGGGGATTCTTACCGACACTCCTTCCCTAACCTGGGGTGCCGAGACCATCTGTAATACTCCCAGGGCCATCAAGTCCAAGATAAGCTAACTCAGCCCTTAATATGGATCTTTACAGTTGGATGCTCATTCAGCCATGAGAAAAATGATTTGGCTGTACATTTTGCATTAATTTTAAAAATACACAGCATAACCCCTCCTTTTTATTTACAGGAAAAAAATGAATTAAAAAGAATCAGGATTCATGTATTAATCGTAGTTTATGAAATACACAGTTAGAAAGGACTCATAAATTAATTCCCCTTAATCATCCTTTTTTAATGATATTCATGTAAAATACTTTATGATTTTCTTTTGCTGCAAAATAATCCATGTCATTTGTCGATCTGATGTTTTATTTTCACTGCACTACCATTGCAATGTTTATTTGTGTTAGCAATTTCGGTTGATAGGACACACCTGCTTTTGAGAATTCAACAATGAGTTAAGTCTCCAGGGAACATGCAATACTCCAACTAACCGAAAATTATTCCATCAATGATTGAAATGACTAGCCAGATCTTAGAAATTCCACTTAAATAATACTTGCATTTGTCATAGCACCTTTCACGAAGGATGTAGTGATTGTGTATTTTGTAGGCAAAACATGGCAGCCAATTTGCACACAGCAACGTCCCGTCCCACAAATAACTATGAAGTGAATGGCCAATTTTATCTGGGGGACTATTGGCGAGCACAATGAAATAAATTACCTTTTCTTTTCAAATAGTGTCACAAAATCTTCACTTGCACATGCAAAACTGGACCTCAGTCTTATCCGAAGAACAGCGCTTCCAACAATGCAATCTCCTTCAGCCTGTATTGAACTGTCAGCCTGGACGCTGAGGTCAAAGTCCTAATGTGGAACTAGAACTCAAAATCTTCCAACTCAGAGGCGAGAATACTCCCGCAGGCACATCACAATGGTCAGTCCTACAGACATCACTGATACTTCCTTGATCAACTGATAGTTGCACTGCAGTTTATATGGGTTTGTACCTTCAGTGTGTCAGCCTGGCGCAGTGGTATCATTATCACCTTTGAGTCAGAGGTTGTGGGTTCAAGCCCCACTTTGGGACTTGGAATCATATAGTTGAAGCTGGTCACTCCAATGCAGTGCTGGGGGTGTTTTGCATTGTCGGAGGTGACATCCTTTGGATAATGTTAAATTGAGATCCCATCTGTCTTTTCAGGTGGATGTTAAAGATCCTATGGCACTATTCGAAAAAAAGAGAAGGGAGTTTCTCCTGGTGTCCTGGTCAACAATCCCCCAAATAAAATTGGTCACTCACTCCGTAACTATTTGTGGGACATCACCTGTATGCAACTGGCTGTTGCGTTTCACCCACAGAAAAATACACAATCCACTTTACAGTATATCCTGTGAAACGCTTTGAGATGTCTCAACAATGTGATATATCAAATGCAACAATTAGCATTATTATATAACTTAGCATTATCATACAATGGTGTCACATGGTGAGCATTGAGCTCTCTAGAACAATTTTTATTTTAAACTATTCCTGCAATACGAATATGATAATATACATAAATATAAATAAAACATATTGGCTACATTTCTCACAGTTCCCAGACAATGTATACCATATAATTTAGCGATCATCTACCTGCAACCTAATGGTAGGTCTATAGAAAATGGAGATGTATCCCTTATGGGCTTGGTATACAGACTGAAGTACCTAGCTCCATGTGAAGTCAGTTTAATGTCTGTCCCACACCCATCACTGATGCCTCTGCGATCAACTGACAAGGTGGAGATTCTCCTGCTTTTCTCACTTTGACACATAAAAGAATTAGTGAAACAGCTAAACCTCAGTGCTGGTCAAATTGGGATCCAAGTTGGTCACTTCGGTTGGAGTCCAGCGGCTGCTGGGATTACAAACATGACTGACATTTCATTCCATCTTCCTCAGATCCAAATTCTCCTAATCTCCCTATTAATATGGCGGTTTTCTCACTTAAATAGACCCGTAAAGGAACTCTTTGCTGCCGCTGCATACCCTAATAAGTTGATCAATGCTGAACCCATTTAATGAAGTGCACTTTTGCCTGCAGGGAGTTTGGAAACCAGTTTGGCTGTACCACACTGCTTGTGGATCAGTGGGTACTTAACATCACAGGAGCTTGAAAAGTTACCCGATTACCCATCCGCCAATAAAACACCGCCCCACACTGCACTCCAGTACAATAGGATATCATACTTACAGACCAAACTGTCACTTTACACAATATGTTCTTCAGTCACATTTATTTTATTATGTGTTTTGTTCAATTTGTATCGGTTGTAGGTTTTGACAGTAGCTAAGCTTTTCAGACACAAATGAAAATTGGGTGCAAAGATTTGCTCATCATAACTACCGTACTGTCCTCTCAAAGCAATAGGACTACTGTGTGTGCATTTAGAGAAAATATTCAACTGATGTAGGCTGAGATCATGAACACCAAACAGCAGGTCTTCGCATGAGGAGTCAGGTTGGTCTGTGTGTGTGTGTGTGTGGTGTATGTAAGCACGCCTCTCATGCAACCACTTAACTGGATGCAACGAATGGGAAGCAACATCCTCATGTCTCAGACATCACATGGACTGGTGTGATCAAAGTTTTACCTTACTGTCTGCAGCTGTCTCCACATTACGGGAAAAGCCATTATTTCCAGCATGCACATAAATTATTTATCATCTTTGGCAACAATTGTTGCGCCGGAAGCATTACATTATATCTGCGGCTGAAAGTAGGCACCAGGCCCCTTATACTACTGGGGGATGAATATTGTCGACTGAGGCTTTTTGATGGCGACCAGCTGTCCAGATTGTCCCCCGTCTGTCAGAAGCGAGAGGGTTAAAAGCCTTGTCTGCAGGTTCTGATCTCCAGTGCACTGGCGCCCTGTTCCCCTAGTGTATCCCCGCCTCTCTGGAGACAGCTGCCATTTGCTAGCACTCAACCTGCTTCAGGCAATGCTATTTCAGCCCAGCCATCACTCAATAATTTGTCTGTCAGCAGCCTCCATACCTTGAAAAATGACACCCCTCTTAGATTTCTTCATAGAAAACAAACACACTGTAATCTCAAAACACTGAGGACACTGTGGACTCACTCCTCATTTAAAGCTAAACAGCAACATTCAGCATTAGTTAGATGGATGGTATATATTTCTGGTCCTGTCCTGTTCAGCTTTATTTCATCAATTCAACTATGACCAATAACTGCACATTGACGTTCACAAACTGTATGGACAACAAGATCCTCAATGCCAAGGTTATGGTGTTAATTTATGAAATGGCATGAATCTAAAAATGACTTCTGTGAATACTTACAATATATATTTTTTTTAAATTAAAAAGGCTTACATGGTACAGGGAAATTAGAAGCCGCTTAAGAGCCAAGTCATTTGTGTTGTGCACAAATCCAGATTCCAAATAATGGAGATGTCTGTGTTTCAAAAGATGATTTATTGATTGATTTCATCCTTATTGAAATCGATAGCGAGATCCAGTTGGATACCTAAGTGCAGCTTCACATCATAAAGCCTGTATATGAAGCCAATGTGGACTAATGTGGGAGAGAATGAATTTCTGAGAATTCGCATCACTTACAGTTGACCTTAAACTCGAAAGGGTAGAATCAGCCTGAAATAAATCCATGATCATATTTTATAACCATTTTGGTGGGCATATGAGAACAGCAGAGGATTGTTGGGAAAGTAATGTGTCATACTCCCGGAGCAATAAGTGCACTGTTATTGGTGCTGGGGTAGCATCTGCTATGTGCTCTGTGTGCTAAATGTGCTTTTCATTACATTAAACCTATTGTGAAGATTATTCTTTCAGTCAATCGGATGTCACTGCACGAACTTCCTCCCAGTTCATTGAAATATTCTAGTTCAGAGTTAATAAGATTCATCTCTGATGCCTGTAGACATTGAATTGAGATAAGGAAATTAGTAAATATGTTGTTTGGCAGTGCTGCATACACATCTGATAGCGATGGGCATTTCTGCACTTTCCTTCCACCACACAAGTGGAAACGATCTATCTACATCTATATTAATTTCCCAATAACACCCATTTCCATAGTAACTGATGACATTGCCACGACTGAAAAGATAATAATGATAATAATAATCCTTGCATTTGATATAGCGCCTTATCACGTCTTCGAGATATTTTTTCTCTCTCTCTCTGCCAGTGCACAGATCCGGGATTGAGCTGCAAAGTGAAGTGATTCTCAAGTCCTCACTCAATAAGTACATCAATAACCGGGTGTGCCATCAGATGAGAAAAGGAGAGCAACAAACACCAACTCTTTTTTTTGATCAGATATGTTAAATCGCAGGAATGAATGGCAAGGAGCACAAGAGAATTCCAACAAAAAAACATCCTTAAATCACATTGCAAGTCTGCTCCAACACCTGCCAGGACCGAAAGCAGAGAATGCTCGATTACTTGCCATCCATCGGTGGACCTTAACGCTGGACCAATCCATGCGGGTTAGACTGTCTCACACACAACACACACACACACAACACACAACACACAGGTGTAAGTTGTCTCACACACACACTACACACAGGTGTAAGTTGTCTCACACACACACTACACACACACACAGGTGTAAGCTGTCACACACACATAACACACAGGTGTAAGTTGTCTCACACACACACTACACACAGGTGTAAGTTGTCTCACACACACACACACTACACACACACACAGGTGTAAGCTGTCACACACATACACTACACACACAGAGAGAGTGAGAAACCTGGGGATCTTACCTTTCGGACTTGGTGTACCTTCGGAAGGACTGGCGAGTAAGATCCTGGAAGGAGCGGTAGGTTTGGGGCTCGGCTGAGATGCCCTGAGCTCTCCTGGTCCGGGGGGCAGTGATTTGGGTACTGGGCAGCACAGACTGACATTTGTGAAGTTTCCTTTTCAGCTCCTGAATCTCTTCCTCTTTCTCAGCTAAACGCACCTCCAGCTGCCGGATCCGCTCTTCCTTCAGGATCAGAATTGTGGCAAAGTCCTCTTCCAGATCACTCATGGTTTCCCCCTCTCTCTCTCTCTCTCTCTCCCTCTCTCTCTCTCTCTCTTTTCTAGTGTGTGCAAAGTTTACACCCAGCGAACAAGGCAACAACGCCAACAAACAAAAAAACAAAACAAAATAAATAAACCACACGAGCCTGATCTTGCAACGTGTTTGTTACTCCCGAGCTTCAGGGGGTGGGTGGGTGGGTGGGAGGGGAGAGGTGGGTGGGTGGGGGGTGGGGGGGGAGAGAGAGAGAGACAGAGACAGAGCTCCAGCACTAATGGTGATGATGAGATGTGTTCGATACACTTATTGCTGAATGGGCAGAAAGAAGGGGGAAAAGGATGGAGAGTATAAATGCTGTGTGTTATCGATGCTTTCGTGCTAATCCAGAGCTCCTCTGGGGAGCCGGTGATTATCTTTCATTGAGAAACCAATTAGAGCTGCTTTCCCCCCCCCCACTCCCCCCCACTCCCCTCCCTCTCCCCTCCTCTCCCTCTCCTCCCTTTTTCCTTCCAAAGGCTCCAAACCACTCAGATGTTCCAGCTATTCGATCGTCACGGGCAGAAAATGCTTCCACCACCGGAGGTGGGGGGTGTGGGGGTGTGTGTGTGTGGGGTGGGGGGGTGTGGGGGGGTGTGGGGGGGGTGCAACCAGGCGATCGGATCTTCAACTCAAAACAGCAACAACACCAACAAAAAAAAATAAAAGCTTTCGTGGTGCACAAGGTCTCGATTCTCGAAATAGCAGCAAATCACCATGTGATCGGCAGAGTGACGCATCCCCGTTGTAACTCGATCTGTTTCTTGAAGACATTTGTTTCCTCTTCGGCACTTGGACTGGGAGGGGGTGGGGAGGGGGAGGGGGCGGGGAGGGGGTCTAAAAGAGGCAGAGATGACAGACTGATGGGCTAAGAGCTTCCTCCCTCCCTAACGACCCACTCCCCCAAAGTATCCGGTAGCGCCGAGCAATGCAACGCCACCTCGCACCGAATTGAACGTATTTATTGCAGGAAGGGACATCGACTTCGGGAGCAATCGCTTCCCAGAATTGTGCCAGGAATGAGCTGCACCCCCTTCCCCCCACCACCCCTTTCCCCCCTTTCCACCGGACGAGGAGGAATACTGTTTCCCATCATTGACCATTCGCTGTGACTCGCGTCTTAGAATTACGCACTGAACTCTGAACATTCAGAGGGACCGTTCAAGGTGGTGCGCTCGTCAGTCAGTCAGTCAGTCAGTCAGAGTCAGTCAGTCCATTAACATGTCATTAACTTTGTCTATTTCAATGCACTTGCATTTTAACATTCCTTTAAATGGAGCACAGCAGTTTAACAGAGACTTCGAGCCTCTGGTAAAGTTGCATTTGCTGCATATCATTAAATGCCACACACCAAGTCATTGCTAACTTGATTCGTGAACCCACTTATTTACGTGTTGGTATATTTTGTGTGACCCCAATTCATTATTAAGTGCCCTTCTTCTGTAATGTCAGAGTTGTCATTGGGCAAAATATCAGAACTTTTATTCCCCCCCCCCCCCCATTATATAGATATTCTCTCAGAAAAGCAAATGTGTTTTCGTTTAAAAACTGTCCAATGTTTATTAATACATTTGGCATTCACTTGTATTGACACTACATGGAGAATAGCTTCCTAATGCTGTACTCAGACTGTCAAGTCCAGGAATGATTCATGAGCAAACCTGTTTGCTTGTCTTGGAATGATTTTGAAAGAATGCAATTTTAGATTGGGAGGTAATCAATTGTTAAGGATTTTAATTTGAGACAACTTGAAATAATGAAATCCCGCCTCACATGTTTTGGCCAAGACCTAAACAATAGCCAGTTTACACTATAACTATGATTTGTCAATTTAAAAGAAATTTATAAAATGCTCTCGACTGCTGTATTTCAATATTAATAATCCTTGCATTTGATATAGCGCTTTTCACGTCTTTTAGACGTTTCAAAGCGCTTCATGGAATATATTGTAAAGTGAATTGATTGTATATTTGTGGGCGAAACGCGGCAGCCAATTGCGCACAGCAGTATCCCACAAACAGTCGTAGATTGAAGTGACCAATTTATTATTGTTTTTTTTTCTTGAGGGATTATTATCAGGCGTATGGAGTAAGGAAACTTGCCCAAAGTTTCACCCTGACGTGAATCGAACCCAGGTCTCTCGCTTGTGAGGCGAGTGCTCTAACCACTGAGCTACAGGACTCCACTACTAATTTCAGGGCTAATTTCAACTTATGGCAACACTTCAGGTTAAGCAGTCAGTATAGATTTACCATAATTATTTCTTTGAATCTCTTTCATATTCACATTTTATTTTCAGGGTTCAAATCTGCTAAGATCAAGTGCCCACCTCGTTCAAAAGAATCACATTTTCTCTTTAACTACCATTTATTTTGGTGAATGAATTGATTAATACATTCCTATATGAATTAATACAGATCCATTTACAGATAGGTATGTGTTACAAATGAACAGAACCTCAATTTAGTGCATCTTTTTTTCTTGAGGGATTATTATTAGGCGTGTGGAGTAAGGAAATTTGCCCAAGGATTCACCCTGCTGGGAATCAAACCCAGGTCTCTCGCTTGAGAGGCGAGTGCTCTAACAACTGAGATATAATCATATATTATACAATATAACAAGAAGGCTAGGAAGACATACATCTTTTCAAATAAATTCAAAATAGCTCTCTTCATATACAGAGAGATTTGCTTGATCACCATTCAAATGCATAGGATTATTATCATTATTCAACTTCTGTTTAAAATTCCTTATGGGAGGAAATCTAGGTTCTGAACACAAATGGGGAGCAACATATATCATATGGCATTGATTAAATATGGGTTAACAAATGAAACTCAAACACTTATGCTTAGAAAAAAATCTGTAGGTATCCATTTGTTTGCCAAAATTCGATAATGGTAATTATGTGTTAAATACTAATTGTTAAATGGCGATGTTATGAAGTCTGGAAACGATAGATAGGTCTGCATTAAGCAGGTGCATCGTAGAACAAGAGGTGAGTTTTATGTTTTTAATTTATGAGTTTGGGAAAATACACAATACTACAATTGCGGGTCAACTGGTTACAGGAGGAATCTATCGCCATCACGTGGTTCTTTTGTGATATTACCGCTGTTTGCACAAATAGAGGGTAATAACTATAAAAACAGCAACACATTGCATTTGTAAAGCGCCTTTCACGTTGGGAGGATGTCCCAAGGCGCTAGAAAGTCAGGGATTTGAACCCGAGTTGGGGGTTGGGATCAGGAGGGATGGAGGGTAGGAGTAGGAATGTGAAAAACATAAATTCCTTGAAAAATTGGATATTTAATGTAAGTTAGCAATCTGACATTGTACTAGTCAGATACCCAAATCTCTCAATAAAACTAACACATTACCCCAAAACATGATTTAAACCATATCAATGCATGACTTTAACTGGTTGGCTGGCTCAGTTGGAAGCACTCTGGCCTCTGAGTCAGAAAGCTGTGGGTACAAGCCCACATAAAACCCCACATCTAGGCTGACCATATGAGTTTGAAGTCTGGGAAAGCATTACATTGTTGGAGACGTGTCCTTCAGATGAGATGTTAAATTCTAAATTCAGTTAAATTAGGTTCACAATTAGGAGTGTAGCCCTGTAGCTCAGTGGTTAGAGCACTCACCTTGCAAGCGAGACACTTGGGTTCAATTCCAGGCAGGGCGAAATCTTACTCCAGTAAGTTTCCTTACTCCACACATCTAATCATAATCCCTCCAAAACAAAACAATAATAAATTGGTCATTTTCAATCCACAACTGTTTGTGGGACACTGCTGTGCGCAATTGGCTGCCACGTTTCACCCACAAATATACAGTCAATTCACTTTATAGTCTATTCTGTGAAGCGCTTTGAGACGTCGAAAAGACGTGAAAAGCGCTATATCAAATGCAAGGATTATTATTAAAGATCCAATGACCATTTGGAAAGAGAAGGAAGTTTCTTCTGGTGACCTAGCCAACAACCCCCAACCCACCCCATCCAATAAAATTGGTCATTCATTTCATGGCTGTTTGTAGGATATTGCTGTACGCAAATTGACTGATTCGTTCATCCACTGCACATTACAGCGTATCCGGTGAAGTGCTTTGAGATATTCTCCTGAAATGAAAAGCTCTATATCAAATGTAAGTATTATTATTATTATGAATCAGTACAAACTAATTATTGAAACATATTTCACTCAGATAAAAAGTGAAAGTGATGCATTTCTAAAATTTTGCATAAATGTTATCCTACGTTGTAATTTTGAAGAACGATTCACATTTCTATGCAAATCATGACTTATCTATGGTTAATAATTTTGATTCAAACTAGTGGGCAATCAGACCAGAATGTGTACATGCATTCTTTCACCATGCCTGACTACACAGGCAGTGCAGTATGCTTAGTCCACTCTCTAAATTGTGAATGGGTGTCCTTTGATAAGTTGGCATTTCTTTTCCTCCTCCGTCACCCCCTCCTATCAATTTACTATTATTTTCTTGAATGCAAATTCATACTCTTCTCTCTTTTCTCTTCAAGCAATGGTTTTATTCATAAGTGAAATATTCTACTCCACCCACAGTATATAGACAAAGATTGACTGAGGGCAAGTAAACAGTGCTCCCACAGCAGAACATGTGGCTATTTGTGCTACACAAATAGTACATATGCATTACAAATGACTAGAACAAAATGGGTAGGCCAAAGAAGAAAGTGACCTCCAGCTGAAGAGACTTAGGGGTGTTAGTTGAATTCTCATTCAAAATATCAAAACAGTGGTAAGGCAGTAATAAACAAAGCAACCAAGATACTGATCTACTTAGTACTTCTTAGTACTCAATACTAAGTAGATCAATACTGATCTACTGATCTACTACACAAATCTACTTTGCTCCTCCAGTACCAACACCAGGTCCGCTGATGTTCTACCAACACCAGGGCCTGGATGAGTGCAAACTTCCTGCAGCTGAATCTGGACAAGATGGAAGCCATATTCCTTAGCTCCCATCAACATCTTCACTCCTGCGGACCTGAACTCCTCAATCTTCCTGGGCTCTCCCTCACACTCACCAGTGCACAATCTAGGCATCCGGTTCGACACCCAACTCTTCTTCCTACCCATATCCG